AAACTGTAAAGGTTTGGCTTCATTTCTAGGAAAAGAAAAATACTGTAACTTGTTGCTTAGATATAAGAACTTGCATGTTAAATAACATGGAAGGAGAAGCTAATCTTTATTTTGACTGTTGGAAGGCTGAAAGTGAAGAGAGCTACCAGGATAAACATCCCTTGAGAAGGGAAAACAACGAAACCAATCGGTGCATGTTCTGTTACCAGCATCACCTTACAAGATATATAATGGCATCCATACACATAATATAAGCAAGAAAGAATTAATGAACAATGTAGATGTCTCCAACTAGTTGGGAACAAAAGTTGGGACTGTAAAATATGAAACATCCAATGATTCATACAAATAAAATCCCTCATTTAGCAGATACTCACAAAGATTGCTTGATGAAGCCCCAAATTTGAGAAGGCATCATGATTATAGGATTCAATTTAACTAAATCACACATTTCTAATAAGAGGGAAGATTTTGCAACAACAACATCAAGGTTGCACCTTTGTAATAGGAGAGATCAAGATTCGGATCACAGAAATAATCTCTCTATATTTGGTGGTAAGACCATATTTAGTGGTAAGAGATATATATATATATATATATATATATATATATATATATATCTAATGATCCTTATCATGGTTGCATTGGCGTCGGCATCCTACACATGTACGTCCACACATCTCTAATGCAAACTTGAGGAAACAATCACATTAGATAAGAACAAAAACTGCAAATAAAGAAACAATCACATTAAATAAGAACATAAACTTCTAAATTTGTTCATGAAGCCCTAAATTTGTTTCTTTTCTTCGCCTTAAGAAAGAACACATCATGATATTCGGACACAACTTGAATTTTTTAAACAAATCTAAATTTGTTGATGAAGCCCCAAATTTAATAGTGACACTCTGTAGCACAATTAAGTAGCAAATTGAGCGCATCAAGCTATTCAATGAATAATGTCATTTTAACCATTATGTTGTTATTCAATGAATAACGTCTTCATCGATCTCTCCATATCTTCATAGTTCAAGTTTATAATCAATTTCACTTAGGCTCTCATCAATTAGGATAATATAATCAGTAAATAACATTTACTGGAGAGGTTTATTATGTAAATGGCTAGTAAGTTTATCCATCATCAATGTGAAAAGATAGGAACTTAATGAGAATCCTTAATGTAATCCTATATTAATAATAAATTAACTAGACACACTTTCTATAGTTCTAATACTAGTAGTTATAATATTATACATATCTTTAATAATATCAATATAATTAGTGAATATACCTTTCTTTTCTAAAACTCACCACAGTAAATCTCTAAGAACCCTATCACAGGCTTTCTATAAGTCAATAAAGCCCAATGTTCATCGTACCGTAGCATATCATTCGATACGAGTAGTACATACCGGTCTGACAGGGGATCGATACGGGCAATATATCAGCATTTCCCTATGTACCATGTGTTGGTACACTCGGTACAAGTTGGTATGGCTCGATATGTATTGTACTGATAACTAATCGATACATCGATACAGACTAGTAAGGCGAACCATGATAAAGCCCATATGCAATTTTTTTTTCTCTCTAAACTTTTTCATTAATTATTTTAATAAATAAATAGTTTTTATGTTTGATCTTTCGAGCATAAAATCAAATTGAATTTTTGAGATATTTGTTTTAAGTCTTATCATATTTTCGATAACTCCTTACCATAATTTTATAATATAGCTCATGATTTTAATTTCTCTGTAAGCATATTGTTATTGTAGAAAAAAAAGGGTTCTGATATCACATATGTTACAACCAAGTCTATAAGCATTTCATAGCGAAAAAAACTATCTATGGTGCTCCAAAGAAATAGATAGATTACAGGTAAACATGATTCCATTTAATATCATAATGAAACCATCTTTTTTTCTAAAGCTAACAACAGCACCCATGATTTCACACTAAAATAGATTTACAAAGATGAGAAACGATATTTTTTTCTTATATCATAGATGAGAAACGTTAACGAAAGAGAAGCGAAAAGTCTCTTCCATGATTCATCATCATCGTCTTCATCTCTTCTCCCACACGCAGTAGTCATTGCCAGAGGCAACGATGTGGAAGTTGGAAGGAACGAGATTCCCCACGTCGTATCTCGAGCCTAGCTTTGTCAATATCTTCCCATCGATCATTGCCATGTAGAGGTCAGCATCAGAGGCCAGTTCTGATCGTATGCTGGCTTCCCATCGTTTCCGTAAGCTAATGAACTCCAGATCTCAGCCTCCACGAAGTTTGGCTACGTCTGTTCGACGTAGATCTTGGCGATGCTTGAGGAGTAACCCTTGGCAAAGTCGAGCCTCCACCCGTCGAATTCGATGTCATTCTTGAGCCAGTTCAGCTAGTCCGTGAGCTCACGCTAGACCTGCGTGTTGAGGTGGTCTATGTCGGGAGCCGCCGCGAAGCCCTCGCCGGTGTTGAGGTTACCGATGCCGTCGGAGTATTGTGTGTCGTCCCTACAGATCATATGTGGACCCCAATCGAGGCGGGCATCATCGGTTCCGCCTTCGAAGATGCACCATATGCCTCTCCCGTCTTGCTTGTCTGCGCAATGATGGTTGATGACGATGTCGGCCACGCATTTGACTCCCTTGTGGTGGAAAACGCCGATCAGCGCCTTCAACTCATCCTGATTCCCATACTTGGAAGCACCCAAGTCGTAGAGCCGGCCCGGCATGTAACCTGAGAGCAGAAGTGTCACAGAATAGTTTAGACCAAGGCCGACTCGGTCAACATGTGAGAGTGATCACGACGGCAAATACGAATCACTGAACGACCTTGAACGCCGACAGAGTGCGAGGGCGGAGGCAGCCAGACGTGGGTGACTCCAGCGTTGGCTATATCAGAGACTTTGTCTTTCAAGAAGTTATACCAGCCGCCTTGATGCCTCCACGACTCCCAGTTGAAGCCCTACAACGTATTCGTTTCTCTTACTGTAAACGCGATGAAGGACAAAGGAAAGAAATGGATCTATTTATCTCTACCTGGAAGAGTATCTGGGACTGAGCCAAGTTCGGAACGACAAGAAACAAAAGCAGAAACATCCAAGGACCAAGTGATTTCACTTTCAGAACTGAAAAAAAAGAGGATGCAAACGAATTATAAACAGATATCTACATGAAAAGAAACAAAATAACAAGTCACCATACACCACAAAAACATATCAAACCAAGCACACGCAATGCATCTCTCAAACAAGAAACAGCCTCGTATGATGATCTTTGATTGTTTCCCCCAAACAAGCTAAATATTTCACAGCAAACCTAATTTAGGATAATGACACAAGTATGAAGACCAACTAATCGTTAAAAGTTGTGTTTAGATCCCCAAACAAGCTAAATATTTCACAGAAACCCTATTCATTGCCTCAGCCCCCCTAAAACGTTTAAAGTTGTGTTTAGATCCGACCCGACTTGCTAGCGGGTCTGTCTGTATACTCGACCCATAATTCCGCCAGTCAAATTAAACGGGTCGGATCATTTCATTCAATGGTTAAGGATCGAGATCGACAAGCCCAGCAGACATGAACTGATCCGCTCTTCTGTTTGGATCTAGCTAAATGCACAATGAAAAGAAACGCTCTTAACTATCTCTTTTAAGCTTCTCCTCCTCTTTCTCGTTCTAGTCAACAACCACACCACCGACGTTCCACTTCCATACATTTGATGGGAGGAACATCGAGTTCCTCCTCCTCGTTCGACTAAGTTCTTCAATGATTGCCTCCAAAACCAGCTTGGTTTCATGGGTCAACGGGCTGGGTGGCGCCCGTTCCCTCCACTTTGATGTGATTATTTTGTGCTCCTCTCAGATGTTGTTACATGCACGTTTCTCCTATCCCTTTCCATGGTTTCATGACAAAATAATATGTGCAGTCGAGCATCTTTGTTGACAACTCCTTTTCATCTTGACTGGGAAATTGGGTCTGAGACAAATTAAGTTGTGTATATACGATGAAGCATGAGTTGTAAGAGAGAGGTATAAATAAGATTCATAATGTTTGAGTGTTGGTGCAATCAATAATGGAGAAATCGAACGTGATATTGAGATGCATTATTACTTTGATCATCGGCGTCGATGAGGCCATATGAGAAGAGACATAAACCATGTTATTTAATCCCTCCCCTTTTTTCTCTCAAGTCAAACGATTAGTATATTGCATGGTGTCAATTGTAAGCATAAAGATCTATAATCATGCTATGTCAATAATACGGAAATAACCTAAATGCCAGGATTGAAATCAATGCATAGATCTATACGATGCGTACCTTTTAATGCCATATGTTCAGAGATCCCGTAGATCTGCTAAGCACCGTCTTTAATCCAAGCACCGTCTTTAATCCAAGATTGCTGCAAGCTCCGTCTTTAATCCGATCGCGCTGCGGAATCTGCAGGGAGTGCGGAGAGTAGACCCTTTCTCCTCTCTTCCTATCCTTTCACAGGATCCACACAGATTGATGGATTTGGGGAGAGGGTTTTGGGGAGAGAGTCGAGGAGAATAACTGAATCCCTCAACGGAGAGGTGCGTCTATACGTGTCAACGTTATGACGCTCTAACACACTAACACACCCTCAACCCTTAGAGATCCTGTCCTTTTATAGGCGAGAGTAGAGGGTCTACGATGAGATGAGATCTCAGAAGATTTCCTCCCATCAAGGATATCTCCGAGGAATCGTTCCGTAGTGGACTTAGTCTTGGCTAAAATATCTGAACGGAACCCAATTAGTTATTATATTATATATCTTATTCAATTATAAAAGGGCCACATATTCTAACAAATCAACCTTATGCATGCATGCATGGTTGAGTAGTAGTACGTACTTATGTAAAGCTTCCCTTTTGATTCGTTAACGAAGATTAGTGTTAGCTTATTCCAACAATACACTAACATCTCCTCTTAAAATAATTTCGAATAAATGCAAATTCTTCGCAATAATCAGAGTATTACCTTTTTTTTTTTTACAATTGGTATGATTAATCATAGTCTCTTCTTTTGAGTGTTAGAATTGAATGCATGCATCTGAAAGCCAAATGAATGTTAGAATTGAATGCATGCATCTGAAAGCCAAATTACAAATGCATGCATGCATGCATCTCTACGTGACGTAAAGATATGAGTTATTTTTCTTTTGGTCGACACTAGAGATGATTTGTGGGCCAAAAATCCATAACTATTTGCATCACATAGTAACATTGATAAGATATGAATTGCTCCTAGTCATTTCTTGCTTTACAAATGATTCCACTCCACATGTGCATCACATGCATATCCCAGTCCTCGCCCGAGTCACTCCATATCGATTCTCGATTGGCGACTCGTGGCCCAGTCCTCGCCCAAGTCGCTCCAGATCGATTACCGACTAACAACTCGCCAGTCGATTCCTCACCCGTGTCGCTTCAGATTTATTCCTGACTCACATCTCGGCCACATCCGACGCCCGAGTCACGTCTCTGCTAGCCCCTTGCCCGAGCCGCTCCAGCTCGGTCTCCGACTTGCAACTCGTCGTCTGTAACTCTGAGTCACGCCAAACCAATTACACGACCTACGACACGACGACCTCTCCTCGTTCGGCTCGACCGCCCGATCAGCAGTCTCGACCCTTCTCAAGGCGCGGGGCAATCACCTTGACCGGGGGGAGAAGTGATAAGGTATATTTTGCCCCCCGGACACGTCACAGTCGATGCCACGCGCCACGTCAGAATCCATACCCCAAGGCGTCGCTTGACACATCTCGTCCCGGTAAACCCGGGACGACACCATCCCCACACGCCAAGACAGAATCTGTATCGAGGCACTGTCTGGTGTGTCCATCACGCCAACCCGTGTACGATCGACCCACTTGCAGCAGTATAAAAACCTCGGGCCGCCCTCCGCACTGGCGGGAGAAAAAAAAGGAGGACAACTCTTATTAACCCTTCTCGGAACTGACTTGCTCGTCGGAGAGGTCACGGCCGGGGACCACCCGACGAGGGCCTTTTTTTTTTTTGCTTTGCTGACGGACAATCACCCGCGAGAGCCGAGGGATTCAACCCGAGGACGCCATCCACCCCACAGCGAGGAGCTGTCAACCGGTCCGAATCCCGACCAACGCCAACCGACGCTCCTTCCCGAAGGCCCGGCCACCTCATCACCCAGATCACACTGTGGAAAGCTCCCGACATCGGCCCGCGCACATGGATGGGTAAAACCATGTTCTTCGCACCGCCTCATATCACTACTACCTATGAATCTCGAACATGTTGTCGCATATACCACAGATTAAGTACGATTATTCTCAGCATAAGCCAAACTAAGGAGGAAACTCCGATTCCTCGACCTATGACGGGATTTCGAGCTGACTTGCAGCAAAAATCGGTCGTCATCGTCCGATCTGGTCACCGGGGGCCAGAAAAAAGACGATGTAGAGAAGGATTCGATGATGCCGTCAAATCTTGAAAGGATTCGATCAGATACGGCCATTAAATGCCAAGAAGAAGAGAAAACAAACCCCCAAGGAAAGACTCCGCCGCCGCAGCCTCAACTTCTAGCTCGGTTCTCTTCTCCGACGCTGGTGGCCGTCCGTGTCGTCGCCGGATCTCGCTATAACCCCCGGGCAGACGAAGGGTCGATGAGGTCAGAGAGAGGGAGAGAGGAAGAAGGGGAGGGAGAAAAGGGCGGGATTAGGGGACATGCACGAAACAGTACGCGTACCCGAGTCCCGTACCGAAAACGAGGCGACGAGAGAGGCGTCGTCATGTGGGGGCCGTATCGCACGACTTTCGCCGCTCGACGCCTTTTGCTTAACATTGGCATCGTATTAACTACCCGCGCATATACCCAGAAGACTAGTTGGGGCCCTTTGGTGGGACCCGTTGCTTTTCCCTCGCCTGCAGGGTTTTTTTTTGTTTTTGTTTTTGACAATTTACATATTAGAATGGGCTATTTAAATAATACCTCTAATTTAAAAAAAAATTGTCATAATTTTTAATCAATTGTCATAATTTACAAAAACAGAAAACGCTGTCTTTTTACCACTGCCTACTGCTTCCACGACCAACGAGAGTTTTGAACAGTGTGTTTTGACATCCACGATACAGTGTGGATAACCCATATGTATCCAACACATTACATGTACATATGGATCTTTACAGAACTGAGCTAAGCAACCAAATTATATGAATTGGATTGGAGACTGCTACAAGTAAAAGAATAACCAACAACTCCCAAACCCACCCACCCACGACAAACATACATCTATCTCTCAGTCAACAAATAGCAGCAAAGCTTGTACCACTCATAATGTGTCTCCAGATCATCAAACAACCAAATACCTGAAAGGATCCAAAGCAAGCAGATAGTGAAGGTACAATGTAGAGCGAGCCGTAAAAGGTCCCTTGACTCCAGAAGGCACATTCTTAGAAGAGATCCACCTTCCGTTTCTGCATATCCTGTTTCCATTTGGGTTGCCGATAGAATGCCTCTTTAGTCATACCCAGAGTCGTCTGGAACTCAGCATCAGATAAGTAGGCCTAAATATCAATAAAAAACCAATCAGAGCAGCTGAACACCTACATCTTTAATCAGCAAAGAGTCATCAGAATCAAAGAAAGAAAGACTTTAGTTTGCAAACCTCTCTGCGTTTGTAGTCGATTCCACTGACAGGATTGCTGGACTTGGCTTTCAAACGTTCATAAGTGAATGTACATTCACCCCCATTCTCATCTATTTGGGGATTTGTTGCCACATCTGAATCTGCACCATTGCTATCTGATAAAATGCCATTCCCTTCTGTGGTTTCCTTCTCAGCTGAAATCTCAAGTGAATCCCCCGACTCTGAGCCTGCACTTTCAGTCTTTGCAGACTCTGCAGTAGGTAAAAATAGCCATGATTATCCTCACAAATATTAAGGTAAGAGGACTTTGTTTCATGTAATATAAAGTTTTTTCACCAAGGCAAATGACTTGACTTTATATCTGTTTCCTAAGAACTAGTGCGATGCCAAATTTTCCATGTCTCACAATTGGACATTTAGTTTTTCAAAAAATAATTTACCCTTTGCTTCTCTCCAAGAAAGCAACTTAATGGAAAAATTTGTAAACAAGTCCATCTTTTTCAAATTGCTATACTACTGGAACAGTTCCATGGACAGCTATAGAAACATACAATAAAAAGTGTCTATAGTACACAGGAAACATCAGAAAATATAAAAAGGCATAATACCATTTATGGTCCCAACAGGAACAGGGGAAGGGCTTCTGCTAAATCTTCTTGTAGAGGTCTCTGATTCTCCCTTCTTTTGTTCAGTAGCTAAAACAGATGACAATGCAGCAACTGCAGCTGCTCGTTGTGATCCTTGGCTTGATCGTGATGGCTTTGGTGCCGTGGTTTTATTGTTTAAAGACGGATTAAATGCAGATGATAGTGCTGCTAGGGCTGATGCCCTCTGAGTGGCTCCACCATGATGCACACCAGTAGACTTGTCTTTAGACTGCAACAAATCATAGACACGAAAAATATAGTGGAAAAGACCACCAGAACTCTATGTGTATCAACTAGACATTTGCTACAATCAATTAAAATCCATAAGAACTACCCCAATTAAAATTGCAAGCCAATGATTAGGATACAAAAATGATAATTTTCAAAATATAAAGATTATCAAATATTCAACATGCCTTGCAAGAAGAAAAGATGCATTGCAACTTTTTTTTCTATTGTTTCATGGAGTTACAAATGTTAGAAATATAAGTTACTAATAGCAGATTTACTACAATCAATTAAAATCAAGTTAAAATCAATTAAAATCAATCAAGTTAGAAATAAGTTACTAATAGCAGAGTTACTAATAGCAGATTTGCTACAATCAATTAAAATCCATAAGAACTACCCAATTAAAATTGCAAGCCAATGATTAGGATACAAAAATGATAATTTTCAAAAATATAAAGATTATCAAATATTCAACATGCCTTGCAAGAAGAAAAGATGCATTGCAACTTTTTTTTCTATTGTTTCATTGAGTTACAAATGTTAGAAATAAGTTACTAATAGCAGATTTACTACGTGTTAATGGCACATCACATGGCCAGGTGTCAACTGGGCAAGGGATGGACTCCACCGAGTAATGAAGGGTTAACATAGCACCGGTCCAGCACCCAGCATGTTGAATTTTGGCGAGGTTTAAATAATATTATTGCAGATTATGACATATGATCAAATGGGTTCTTACAGATAAGCAATAGCAAAGTAAAAAAGTTGACAAGAATATATGTGTAATCATTTATGGTAAAGAAAACAACAACCAGTGATTAAAGATTAGAACTAACATTACTTGTGAACCTTTTCTTACTAGAAGAAAACAAATAATTTTATCATTTAAAACGACATAATCAAGATCTAGGAAGTCAGCTAAAAGCTTTCAGACCCCAAATTTTCTTTCTTCCTTTTTTTAGTCTCTTTTGCTTGCCCGATAGTTAATTTTACTAAGTATAACTCATCAGTTAATTCCTCAATGATAGAGCGGTTAGAGCTTGATCATAGCTTGGGTTTAACAGTAAAAAATTGGCATATACATACCTCTGAAGCATGAATGGATGCCCCAAATAGGTGTGCCAGTTTCTTCAGGAAAGAATTTCCATGAATCTGAATCATACGTAGAAGCAGATATTAATGTCTGCTAGTATTAAGCATATGCAGTGTGCATCAAAAACCATTTTTCTTAGTACAACACACAACTTAAATCAATATAAGCAAGTGAAGCAAGTTGCAAAATTAGCTTGAGTCCAAAGAAGTACAAATTTTTTGCATATATTTTCTCCACAATACAAGCATAAAATCTGGTAACTGATCACACCAAAACCAAGTGTCTAGTTAGTTACATCATAGCATTTAGAAAAGAATATATGATTAGGAGTCTAAGTTTAGTTGCGCAAGAAGCAAGAAAACTGACAAAAATTCTTGATAGAAAAGTTTTTACTGAAAGTCTATAATTTCTAAAATTTATTTGCAGAATATTTATCCAGAGAGTAAAAAATTTAGTGTTAAACAACAAAGCTTATATTACTATTGAATAAATAGGACAGTTTTGAACAACAACTATAAACTGGAAATAGCTACATGTTGAGTTTGATTTTGACCTCTGATGAATGACAGTGTAATTCTGGAGTCTTTTTCAGATAATTATACCCTCTACAAAGTTTTCAAACTCAACACAAATGAGAGGCTAAGAAAATCTAAAAGGACATATCAAGTTGATTATGTGGCATAAATGATATAGAAATTGATAGTACAAGTTAAAGAAGATAGAAGTAGAAACCTGATTTGAATTATGTAATATTATATCAAAACAGTGTTAAGTAACAATAGCAGCAATTAACGAGAAAATAAATCTGAAATAAGGTAAAAAAGGCAGAGAGATTAGGCTTAAAAGAAAAAGAACTAAGAGTTTAAAGATGGAACAAACAGATAGTAAGCGTTCTTTTAATGATTTCATAGTGTAAAAAGACAAAAGATGAGGGATACAGAAGGCTTCACAGCACCAAGGCCCCAAAAAACTATGGTAATCTCATGCAAACAAGTTTGACTGCCAGCAAAATATAGTATTGACTTGTATGGTACGACTAACACAAGGTTTAGGAACTGTATACATTCATTTATGGCTACCCTGAAATTGTTTATGGCTGCAACAGTAATATATTGTAGGAACAAATTGGTTTTGTCTAAAAATAAATGCTGAAGATTTTTCAAGTTCCATTATATTATGACTGTGTTTGCGACTGTTTTAGTTCTCCATATTGTTCCTCATTCCATAGCCGAAATCCTGACAGTTATTGTTAAGTGACATACACCTCTATGAAACAAGGCATACCGTTGAGGAAGAAATTGATCATATATAATCTTAGATGAAATATATGTAAGCACCAACCATTCACTGATTAATAAATTTGTTTGTAAGCCAACTGCAATAACATGAAGATTATAAGTTCAAGCATTGCATAAACAATCAGATAAAAGTACACGCTGAGTATGAAAGAAAGAAAAACAATGTACTTAAGCATAAAAGGATCAAAAGGCATAATGTCATAAACAAGTCTAATCATGAAACAAATATATTTCTAGAAGTAGCAAAGTTACAAGGTATTGAACCCCAAAATTCTTTATTTTTCAATAAGAAAATGGATAAAAATAATATATCTCTAGTATTGGTAGCTGAAATTATACAGTAATAACAGTTGACACTAGATATACACTTAAAAGTTCAAACAAAAAAAGTGCTACACTTGGGAGATAAAATTTTTTGGCACTTAAGACTTCAGACTGCTCATTTATACACAGTAAGGTGCATTTCAATAAAATCCTATGAGCCTCAACTAAAATGAGGCTTCAAATAAGAGCCTCTTAAACACTGTTTAAAGAGTAATTTAAGTTATTTAAACAGGGAAGACCATTAGTATGTCAAAAAAACAAAATATGAAAGGAAGAGATAAAACTATCATATGTCACCCGGCAGGGCTACCCAAATGTCACTTTGATCATAAAGCATAATAGCAAGTTCAAGGTCAAATGGAAGGGTTTATCTACTGTTATTTATCAACCTGAACTGAACTCCCAAATACAATCTTGAATTGCCAGACAAAATGTGCTTTTGTAACAGACATGCCAGACATTAAGAACTTGACCTCACCAATAGAGAAAATATTTATAACCAAGGAGCAATGTTATATATCCTCAGTACTTCAGTAAAGTTTAGATTGTACGATATTGGCCAAGCTAAAGCCAAATACTCCTAAGAACTCCAGCCAGATGTTTTTATATTGCACTATGAAACTTATTTACATTTTATAAACAGCAGTCTGCTGAATTTTAAAATTATAAGGTTAGTGATTCTAAAATCTCTTGGCATATCCAAATTAAAAAATTGTCTTATATGGAGAAGAGATGCTGGACATAAAATAAGATCATCAAGATGGCTCAAGCACAACAAAAGAAAGAGGATTCTCCTTCCTCATAATTGAAGGTTCTTTATTTGTCCTAAATACCAATGATAAAAGATAGAAGATTGGAGAAGAAACCGATTTTTTTAAAAGAAATAAGTCAGAAGAAAGAATGTATAAGATAATCATATATAAGTGATGTACCAAGAACAGAGTTTCTATACATATGGTCAATAAATTAAATCCAAACCTATACATTTTCCTAGCCCAGTAGAATTAGAAAAATCACAACTCAGCATCAATTGTGTGCTCACTTTCTCAATAAACAAATGCTCATCTACCTTTACCATGACCATGGATGCTGGAAAGAGTTACGATCGATGGATTCAACAATATATATTTCTTTATCTATAATGGGCCAAAGATAGATTCACATCTACCATAGAAATTACTCAAATACAGAAAAGTAAACAATACTAGCAAAATGGATCAAGATGAGTAAAGAAGGTAATGATTCTATGTCCATATACCATACTAAGGTTGGAAATTGGAAGTACCTCAATCAAATCCGAGAGAGTAGAGGATGAGTCATTGCATGGTGGAAGTGAATAAAACAATTGGAATTTGGTTAGGTCAAGCAAAGTTGAACTTCAAGTTCAAACCTTTCTTGTTTACATGAAAAATCATATGATTTTCATCATAATTAATTGTTAACATAGATATATAAGAGAATATTGTATCCAGATTTTCACTTAATCAGAAATACTGATCCAACTAATTTAAAGTTCCATCTTTGACCTCTGTTTTACCAGCTTGCATCAGTCATTTCATTTTTTTTTTGTAGGACCACAAACCTTTGCATCAGGCCTCATGCAAAATATACATTTATCAATGTTCTTCACAACCAATAAAGATTTGAGAGATAAAATCCAATTTTTTAACCAAAAATCCAAATAACAAAAAGGAAACTGCAAATCATACCGTAGCCTTTGCACTGTCCCAAGAGAAATATGTCGTGAAAAAACAAGGTTCATTACCCTCCGTGACTTTAAAAAGTGGTACATCTGGAGATAAACCTTCGAACAACACTGCAAGCTCTATATATTTCTGAAAAAAAGTTTTTAGTAAATTATATTATTGCAACAAAAAACACTATCAGGAAATATAAATGGAAAGGTCGCTGCAGATACTTGTCCTATATCAAATGCCTTTTGCTTGTCCTTGGAATCCACTGACTGTCCAATCCAGAGAAAGACTTCAGCATGGGTATCAAGAACCAACATGTCTTCAGTCAACAAATCATCTTGAGAATAATTATAAACTTCAGTCACCTGCAAGAAGTTGGGGAGATATACAAGCACAATGAGATAGTGTACCACATACATGAGTTATCACATCATGTATCACAATTGAAAGCAGTCAGTCACACACCTCTAGCTTTCCTGAAGCAGCGTCATGATCACAAATAAACATAAATTCTGGTTATGTTAAGTTCAGGAAAAAAACAAAATACACAAAAACTAAGAAAATTCTCTAAAGATATATTTCCTAAATTGAACCAACCTTTATTGAATGAAAATGTATACAAGTGAGGATCTCTAGTAATATCTTGTGTGACCTTTTTGGTTGTAAAACTTTGCTTCCCACCAAGAGCAAACCAAAAAGCAGAGCTTTCTGTTCCCTCCTTGGCATGCTTTAGTGCTACATCTGGCTGCAGGAGAAAGTAGAATCTTATTGATCTATAAAGCTGGCAATAGTAATTGCTCTTAGATCTATATAATCTTAATTGCGTGTCCACCTGTATATGCATGCATGTACACATATGTGAATGACATGGGTTAGATATTAACAGTGACAAATACAGATACAACAAAAAATAATAATATATGAAGTATTATGATTCATGACAAACTGTAAACAAATAGTATCCATAACCTATTCATCATGAAAATTCCGTAACACAGTATGCCAAGCACTAAATAAGACTTATAGTGCAAGGAGTAAAATCATTGTATTAATCTTATAAGAACGAGCCTTGGTGCCATGGTAAGGTTGCTCTCCTTTGTGATTTTAAGTGATTAGGATTCACGTCATGACAACAATCTATGGTTGCAAGAATATGACTATATACAATATTGATCCCCCTTAAAATTCACATCGGTAGAAGCCTTGAATATTGGGCCATCTCTTTTATTAATGCTTTATAAACAATGTATAGATAATTCACGCAATCATATATTCGTATTTATAATCAAAATAATCAATGTTCAACTAAAACAACTTCTCCACAAAAGTTTCCTTCAAGTATCCTCAAGTATACAATCTTTTTAGTAATTATTTAAATATATACTTCAAGAAAGTATCTAACATGTATCTGAGAATTATTCAAACAGATATCATACGTTACATGTACTTGTTACTGTTATGACAAACGATTCAAGATATCCATATTCCATAGCAGGTACTACCGTAGAAATGTTGATGCTGTCAAAGCTTGCTTTTCAAAAACCAAAATGTGGCACACTCACACCCAGTCACAAATAGGCCAAAGCAAAAGTAGATTCTCAAAAACCAAAGCTTAAACCAAGAAACTTCCTTGTTACATGTTAGTTAAAATTTAAAGATAAATCCCATATGCCCAAACCCCCATTCAAATTATAAGTCATAAATATTGTGGTTAAGCAAAGACTTAAATAGGATCCATCATTAGACTGATATTTAAGAGCTAGTTGTGAACCGAAACCACATCTCAAATTATTCACATGAAAATCTACCAACTTGAACTATGATAAAACAATATGCAGCGACCAGCTTGAAATTAGTACCAAGCCTTTTAACAAGGATAAGATGAAACAAAATCCAATCCAAACCACAGGTTCCTTTTTGTGAAACTGAACAAGCAGCCAACTACATTGATTTTTCAATATATTCTATTTCTTTGCCTATTACATAAACTGTCCATTGCCCATTGGCCAACGAAATGTACGTAATTGTAGACAGTAATCCCAATTGACAACATTACAAGAGTAAAAAGGGTGACAATGAACCAAAAAATTGGTACAGAATTTTGGATATTTTACCTTTAAAAATTCTGCAATTCGTGCAGCCCACTGTTGCTGTTCAAAAGTGCTTGAACTTCCATGCCATGTAAATAATGAATTCCCGGATTGCAAAATAAAACAATCAGTAGAACTCAATGATGTTGCAACCTAAAACAGTAAAATTGTATGTTAATGAAAAGCGTAGAGCTCATGTATCCAACTAGTATTCAAATGTAGATATGAAGAATGTTCCACTGAAATGTCAAGCTAAATGAAAATTATGATTTTGTTAAATAAAATGAATATTAGAAAATCTGCCTAAGACAGCTAAATATGAGGACTGGCCACCTCAAAAAACCATTGCAACCACGGATGACTAACCGAAGGCATGTGAAGAGCAAGGTGAAATCATTTTGTGCTTCTCTTGGGTATGCTAAAACATTTAGTCACGCATTTAATCAGATGTTTCACTAGTTAATGATTAGTCACCTTTTTTAATTCAATCACAGGGATAAGTCTGGCTGAAGAAATGGTTAAGCATGTTCCACTGGACAACAATCATTAATTTCCATGTGAGAATTAACAGTGTACACTCAGATATAAATATAAATACACTTAACGATCCCAAGGTCTTCTAAATATAGCATTACTTCTAAGTTTAATTGGACAACAAAACCTTTGCTTATAATTTTTTTATTAACAGAAACCTAACAACAACAATAACAAAGCCATAAGTAACTGAAACCTAACACACAATAAAAAATCTTGGATCCCTTGAAATTCTCAAGTTTAATTTTCATGTAATAAGTTGAAACATTAAATCATGGTTCATCTTACCAATCTGTACCGATATACTAATCAATTGTCGATACAGTATGTACCGAGCTGTACTAGTATACTGACACATGATATATGAGGGTGTACTGATGTAACACCTGTACCAAGCGGTATGTCATAGTACGACAAACCTTGCATTCAATGATCATTCCAATTGACCACTGGAGAAGGTAACTGTCATTTAAACTCGAGGACAATCTAGCATGAACATAAAGAAAGGTTTGAAGTAAGCTAAGGCGAGGATGTATAGTTTCTCTCCTATATAACCTATAAAAGTTTGTAGCAAGGAAAAGAACTGGCTTTGTTACAGTAGTACCTTCTATGTATGATAACAACAACAAACAGCCATAATATCCTATATATTTTGGTTCGCCTGTATGGATTTTTACCTATCATTGAACTCCATACAATGCAATAATGTCACTCTATATAGTTACAGCATACTATCCCTACTACGCAATGTGTATGCCAGGTTGTGGCATGACTAGATTTAAGTAATATTGTAAGGCATTTCATATACCAATATGTTTCAATTGTTTTCAGACAAAACCCAAACAGGCCCCATTTCCTCCTGTGATTCTTAATCATCGAAATCAAGGTGGGGAAAGGAGAGAAAGAAAAGAAAAAGACTGGATGAGCATGTTTTGTTCCCCTACTTTTTTCCCTTTTCCTAATTTCCTCCTTTTCTTTCCTTTTCTCTTTTTACTTATACATACAGTGTGTTATGTCTTGCCTGTATATCATTCATAGAGGCATGTTGTACTGATCCAACCAACATCCAGTAGGGTTTTCCACCAGTGAGGCAATCATTGCTTCATATTACTCGAAGAAAGCTACACAGCACTTAGAAGCACCTAGCAAGCTAACAAAATGCAGCTTGATATTGACTTACTGTGAAGTAATTCACATTTGAGCTCTTCTTAATACTACAATTCTATCTATACCATTGAAATGACAGCCAAAGCTAAAGAAAAAAAATGTAAATCACTCAAAATTTTGCCTATATAAGATAATATTTCTCAGCAAGAAGTATCAAGGAAAGTATGAAACAATTTGCTGTGTTGACATCATGTAGTCTGAAGTTGTAAATTATTTGGTGAAAAAATAACAAATAGTGACACTGCTTAAATGTGAAAAAAAAAGAGAGAATAAAAATCTTCATTTAACCTGTTATGTCCCTGAGTAATGTGCTTTAGATAATAATTATTATGCTGGCCAACACCAACTAGCATGTGTAGTGCTAAGCCAAAATGCAGTAGTTATCCTGCCACATGGCCAGACTAAACTTCTGCACTGCCAACCATCACAGCAAGCATGTCAACTCGCATGGAACAGTACATGCCATGCCACATTCCTCATCACGGTTTGACATTTCACCCAGTCCGATATGACACCAATGATATGCCACATTCCTCAACAGTACACGGACAACCCATCTCAGGCTGTCCAGTCTGAACCTTCTGAAAACAAAATAAATAAAAAAAACTTCAGGGCTCACATTTGTGAGCCCTCGTCACCCCGAACATGAGCCCTTCCCATTTCGGCTCATGCAGCTGCCGTAGCCGCCCGTCATATGCCGCCAACTGGTACGCTTCTTCTTCCCCTTCCTCCACTGCCTCCTCTTCTTTCTTTCTCTTCCTCCTTCCTCCTCCTCTTCTTCCTTCCTCATGCCTCCTCTTCGTCCACCACTCCTTCCTCTTCTTCTTCTAATTTGAAACAACACCGGCCCCGACTGGCACATACTGTATGGCCAATGATTTATACAGGTTCGTATGCGAAACAGCATTCCTTGTTCCTCGTACCACAAAACTAACAATCTCGTGCCTGCATACATAATGAATTACTCCTTCTAAATTTTGACAACAGCAGAAAATAATTACAATTATAGATAACCATTCACACAAAACTAATTTTGTCGAGAATGAAGGTTCAAACAGATA